GTCAGTGTGCTCCCTCTGACTCTAGCGTTTCCCTTGACGTCTTTGAGTGCTTGGGTCCACAAGTATACATTCATGCTGATTTGAAAGAGCCTACTACGTCCTCGACACTTTTAAATACATTAATCCACTGAATCCTCACAATCGCTCATTTTATAGGTGAAGTAACTGAGGTTCAAGAGGTACCAGTAAGTGGTGAAGCCAGAAGTCAAACAGAGACGACCTTGCAGCAGTGGTTATATGCCCACCTGCCCTACAGGAGCTAAGCCCAGGAGGCCCAGCTCAAGGTCTGGCACATGGGAGGACACCCAAAATTAACTGCTAAGCATAAAAAAGGGGGTGGTTATAATTGTTACATCCCACACTTTAATAACATGAAATCCTAACATTTCTCCTGGGGTTTCACAGAATATGGTTTAGAGTCTACATAAAGATTACCATGAAATAAAGAAATATTAGACTTTATGTCAAAGCTTTATTAATTATTTCTAGAAGTAAAATATATAGCTGTGTTTATGAAAATATGTTAGAATTAAGGTAAAAATTTGCAGATTTACAACTTTCTATTTACCTGTTCACTAAGCATATGGTGACAATATCTGATTGAATTATTTATAATGTGTACAGAACTCCATTCAAAAAGGATGAACGCTAATAAAAAGTCACTGTTGTTATTTTAGATTTGCAAACTATTGAACTCATTGTGACTAATAAAGAAGAAGAACAGGGACATTTTTCTATTCTATAAAATTAGTAAATAAGTTTAAAGTCTTTTTGCTCCAATTGTATTCATTACCTGCATTAGAAATATTCTTTTTCTTTTGTAGCTTTTCTGGAAGCTTTGTATTTTTGGGTAAAGATAAATACCGGGAGGTCGAAGTGGAAGCCTGTAAAAGAGACGGAAAACCTTATTTAGACTAAGCGGATGTCATTTATTGTATATTAGAAGTTTAAGATCTTATGAAAAACCTTGTTAAAAGTTAAAATTTTAGTTTTCAATTCTAAAATTACTTTGTGAGGGGCTGTGGGGATGGAGGATAAAGTTCCAAGCAATACTATTTAATTTAAAAATCACTAAACTTCTTCTAGAATACAATGGAAATCAGGAATAACGAAAATGGAAACAAAGTGGAACTATTACATACATGTGAAAACCATTGGGTTTTCTTAAAGAAAAGCTACTGAATCACTTATTTATGACAGTATTACTGAAAAAACTTAGAACCTATATATAGAGAAGAAGATATGTAAAAAATATAACATTTAAGTTTTATTTACTTTAATAAGTCTTGAAACTGATAGAACAAAAAGTACTAGCTAACTTGCCGACATTTCCAATGCCATAGGCTCTAGTTTCTTTAACTTTTAATCAATGCTGCCACATTTTATACATAAAAAAAGATAATTTGGTTTATACATGAAATTTTAATTTCTGACAACCAAACAGAATACTTTTACAAATAAGATACATGCCTGCTGTGTTCAATTAAGCAATCACAATATCTTTTTTAAAATAGCTTTTCAAACCTATTGACAATGCCATGGACCCAGTGAAATGCTGAACAAGCTCCCTGTGAACACTCGCTCCCCAGCCCCCGTGGCCTTCTCGAAGTCAGCACACATGGGCTTGCAGCCTCTCCCTGGATATCTTAAATATTGCTTTCCAAATGATGCCTGGCCCAGCCATTCACTGTAACTTGTCTGACCTTCCCCAGTACTCCTGACTTCCTTCCTCAGTGACTTTTAATTTTTTCCATAGCACTTGTTGCCGTCTTTACAACAGATAATTTGCTTATTCTGTCTACTGCTGATTGCGTTCTCTCCCACTAGACTTTGGATTCTACAAGTGTAGGAATCTTTCAGTATTGTTCACCAATGAATTCCAAGTGCCTAGAACAGTGTCTGGAACACAACAGGTGTTCAAGAAACATCAAAAAGACTTTGTAACTAACTCTATCCCAGAATTCCTATGAATGAACCCTCAGCAGAGCTTCCGGGACAGCTGCTGCTTCTGCTCTTGGAAGCCTTCTGCATCCCAGAGGCACAAACGCCAGTTACCCTGCGTTCCCGATTCAAGCTGTTGTCTTTCCTAACGCTCTCCCGCAGACTGTGCCTTCTGCGGATCAGAATCTCCTTGGCTTGTCTCTCATTCGTATCGGCCGTCAGGTTGTGTCTGTTGTATGACAGCGTCTGAAATAAAAACAAGTGACATTTTACAAAAACAAACAAATAAACAAACAGAGACTGATCACTGCCCCAGAAATTCCAAAACTTTACTGCGTTTATTGGCTTTGCACCTCAGCTAGGTACTCATGTGCAGAGAAAAAAAAAAAGTATGAAAGTTAACATTCTTTCAAATTTGGAAAGAATTCATCTTCTCATGAAAGCCAGTAAATAAGTTTACTTTCCCCTATTAGAAAGCATAATCTTTATAAATGAGAAACATGATTGAATTCATTAAGTGCCTTCATCTACCTTGAAGTACCTTGTATGTATTTACCCAGCATTAGTGGCTGGGTAAAAAAATACAAGTCATCATACATTCTCTATTGAGTGGAAATTACTGGACTGAAAACGAATCACTCTGAGCCACTTGGTGGTGCAATGTCCTTTTGATTAACTTAGAAACATTTCTTCTTTTCAGCCAGCTTGTCAAATTGAGGAAGCGGCTGCTAACACCAGCCATGAATATGACCTAGTATTTGAAACAGTAAAATGTCTCAATGAGGGCTGGATATGGCATACTTTTTTGGTTTTATAAGCTATATAGAAATCTGTTTCCTAATGCAAATTGTAATTTGTAATTAAGTTGATTTTCCAATAGAATTAATGTATACTTCTTTCTTGGGAATATCCCAGTTTCCCAGCTATATCAGGCCTAGTAGAGATATGCAAAGGTACTACAGAACAGAGTTCAATTCTGGTTTTGAGACATTTACTCTCTAGTTGGACATCTAAGGCTAGCAAAATAATACAAGATCGTGAAATTAAGTGCCAAACGGCATGAGCTCCAAATGCTATCCCATTTAAAGATAGAATTGAGAATAACATGGAAGGTGTTGTTGGAGGACTTTAATAATTAGAGGATGTGGGTCAGCTGAGCTGACAGGAAGCAGCAGTGGAGACTGGGAAGAGAGCAAACCAGGCCAAAGAATGAAGCCGAACCTGTACTCTGTGAGAGTTTAGGTGTGTGGGTGAGGGAGGCGTGGAATTAAGGTTGGATAAGGTGGAACTTTATCCCAAATTCTGAAAGAACAGTTTAGCCCGGAAGCCACAACTGTTGTTTTGTTTCATTTTAAATAGGAGAATGCTGCTATTAAATGGTGCTTTAAGGAAAATGGGGAAGCAACAGTAATACAGGATGGAATGGGGCAGCCTGCGGGGAGACCAGCTAGGAAGCTGCAGAGATGACCTTGACATGAGTGGGGAGGTCTCCTGATAAGCAGTGTGGCTTGTGTGCCACTTCACTATCCTAGGTCTCAATTTCTTCATCTGTAGAATGGAGACAATGGTAACCCTTACCACTTATTGGAGGATTAAATGAGCTAATACATGCAACATGCTGAAATGGGGTTTGGCAAATTAAATGCATTCACTGTTAGCAGTATTAGTAGAAAATTATTAAAATGCGATGTTAACATGGAAATGCAGTGAAAGAAGTGACGCAGACCATACATTAAAGAAGGAAACTAAAGTGCTTTACGAGTAACAAGGAAAATTAAATACATTTAAAAAAGGCTTCTAAGCTTAAAAGGTATTTCATTAAAAAAATAAAGAGAGCAATCAATCAATTACTTCACAATTAGTTTTATGTATATATTATTTTTAAATCTCCAAGCCCTTAGTAGCAGAACTCCCAGAAGACTCCAAAGCTTCACCCATGGTGTCCAGAGGAGAGTGGTACCCTAACAAGGCAGCACACATTGAAATGGGGTTTGAGAGAAGAGAAGGTGCCTAGCAGGGACCTCAGAGCTTGGTGTAATGATGGCGTAGTATCTACTATAATTGTATACCACAAAATCAGAAGGCATGTTTTCAGTCAAAGCAAGGAAATATTTTGCTAAATAAATTATTCTCACTCGCTGACGGATTTGATAGAGATTTCGTGATAATATTTCTCGAATCTCATCCATTTCACCAGGTGTGAGCTTTCTTATTTTTTCTTCACGACAGTCACTGTGAAAGTTCAGAAAAAGAATGTCTTAGTGTTTAACGAATATTGAAATCATCGATTTTCTTTCTTAGAGACATAATACTATTATTTAAGACGAATTTTAGTTTAAAGAATAATATGTAGGAATAATTCACCATTTTAAAATAATTCAAAATTCTAAAACTTTTATTTCAGTGTTGAAATAATTCAGGACAAGTTTAATTGTCTTTTCAGAGTCTGTTCACACAATTATTTTTTAAGGAAGATAAAGTATAGTAACTTATAATTCTCTCATTCTATTATTTCTAATACTCTATAAATAAAGTAATATAGCTTAGTTTTTTTCCAACAGAAGTTTAATTAGATATATTTTGCCATTATGGCCCGGGCTTTTAAATACTTCATTAGAAACACCTGCAAAGGCACCGTTTCTAATATGTATGCATATAGAGTCAATCCTCATTATTAGGGAATTACATATTTGCAAATTCACCTACTTGCTAAAATTCATTTATAAACATATTATCAATATTCATGGTACTTTCCCAGTCATTCATGGACATGTGCAAAATGAGGAAAAATTTGTGATAACTAACACGCAGATTCCCAAATGAGATTGAACATGGCAATGCTTTGCCTTATTGTTTCAGCTCTCTTACTGTAAAAAATATCCTTTTCATGATCTATTCAGTGGCATATTTTTCATATTTTTTGTACTTTTTGTTGGTGATTTTGCTGTTTGAAATGGCCCCTGAGCATCGTTCTGAAGTGCCGCATGGTGTTCCTATGTGCAATAAGGCTGTGATGGGCCTTCTGAAGAAAATATGTGTTAGAGAAACTTTGTTCAAGCATGAGTTATGGTGCTATTGGCCACAAGTTCAATATTAATGAAACAACAATGTATTAAATACGAGGTATTTAAACAGAACCACACATAAAACAAGATTATGTATCGATTAGCTGAGGAACACATTGTGACAAGAGACTCACAGGAAAATAACCCTGTATTTCTCAAGAGTAGTGGTTGAGTATTTGCAAATGAGTGTTCACAGCAACTTTATGCAGTGGTTGAGTATTGGCAAATCAGTGTTCACAGCAACGTTAAAGAACGTAAATGGCAAACAATGAGAATTGACTATATTTATATAGTTTTACTCTAACTCCTTCAAAAAGACTTTAAGGGCCTACAAAAATAGATAGTGCAATAAAATAAATAGATTAAAAGGTAAATTAAAAAAAGAAATTAAAGCTGGAATGGTTAATACACATATGCGTGTAGACTTTAAGGGCCTACAAAAATAGATAGTGCAATAAAATAAATAGATTAAAAGGTAAATTAAGAAATTAAAGCTGGAATGGTTAATACACATAAATGCGTATAGAAGATGAACCAAGAGCACACAAATTAAAGAGCATATTATTTTATATTATTTTTAAATGCAAACATGCTGTTTCTATAAACCAACCACAACAGTAATTACTGGGGTACAAAAACTTATGCCCAATGGGTAATAGATATACACAAAGGAAGGAACACAGAAATTCAAGGCTTCTTCAGGACAGAGTTCTCTAGATTGATTTTTGCCTCAACCTCAATTGCTCAGATGATTTTTTTAAGAAGCATCTTTTCAGACCGAGGCATCATTGTTTAGGTAACTGTCCAGCTTCCTAATTAGGTTTTTTGATCAGCAAAGTTAATTCACAGAATTTGAGTCAGAATGAACAAATAAGTTCAATAAATAACAGTCTTGTTATCTGATTTTCTTGAACAATGTTCCCACCATATTTTTCCCAACATGTTTGCATAACTCTAGTGACAAGTACACAACTACCTCCCTTGTTTATACTTAATATAGCCACTATAATTATGAATTTGTGGATTTCTACTTATGGTTCTGTCAAGTTAGGGTTTATACATTTCGAGGCTATGTTATCATTTGTATGCTAATTTAGACTTGTTATGACTTAAAGAATTGAACTTTTATCATTATAAAATATATTTCTTCATCTTTAGTAATGTTTTTTTCCATAATACTTACATTTAATGGTAATAATTTAATTCTATAAACTTTCTTTAGTGCTTTAAGAGTATCTTTTTTTATCAACCTTTCATTTAACCTTTCTATACTCTTATATAAAAGTGCTCGTTTTTATAAACAACATCTAGGGAGTTAAATATTTTTATCCATTCTGTATTCTGATCATTTCTTTCTTTTGAATGGAGTAAGTTTATATTTAATGTAATTACCTTTGGAGTTAAGACTATTGTCTTACTATTGGCATTCTGTCGGCTCCACTATTCTATAATTTTTTTTCTACTTTGTTGCCCTTTTAAAATTTATTTTATCTTGTTATTTTATTTCCCTTCTCTGTTGGCTTGTTACATTCTTTTACTATTTTTTTTTAGTGGTTACCTGGGATTTCAACATTAATCACTGACTTATTAAAGTCCAAAATACATTTTTATTTTCACCACTTTCCGGACAATGCAAGGACCTTACAACACAATAACACTATTCACCTCCTTCTTGACATACAACCTATTCGTGTTAATTTTAACTCAGCACATTTAAAACCATACAGACATTATTATTTTATGTAATTAATACTCATTTAAAGTTTACAAATATTAACCATTTCCATTGTTTTATTTCCATTTTTCATCTGCATGCTTCTCTATGAGTCTCTTTTCCTTCTGTCTATAACCCTTTATCATTCATTTTAGTGTGATGGTTTTTATTTCCATTAACTCTTGGTTAAAAATATCCTTCACCCACTGGTACTCTCCAGCTTTCAAGCAGATTTTTAAAATATGTTTTGTACTATTTTTCTAGTTGTGTTTCAGAAGATGGTTTGGCCTATAACACTCAGTCCATTATTGCCGGAAATACAATTCCTTATCATCTAGATCCCTTTTTGCTTCTGCTTTCCTCTAGAGAAAACATTTCAGGAGAAGTGGAATGGTCAGTATGGAATTCATTTATCCAACTATGCGTCTAGCCACTAATTTCGTAACCTCATTCCCTAACCCTAAACATTTGCCTTTACTCTGCTTACTGCCAACTTCAAAATGAACTGCGAACAGAGTAAAACTGTGATTTCTTTCTTCGGTGATCACAAAGACAATGGCTCTCCTGTGAGAAACTGGATAATTCAATTATCTGTTGCTCCAACTGCAAATGGAACACTGCATAAGAAAAACAGTGGAAATTGTAAAGCTAGATGGAAACTTAAGGATCAAGTCTAGCCCCATTTTCTACTTGGAAAAAACTCAACCTCAGGGAAATAAATGGACCAGTTTAAGGTCACACGGAGTTATTTGCAGAGTAAGACTATAAGTCGCCATTCTGCTCAATCCACTACAATTTACAATGCAATATAATACCTTTATCTTCCAGTCATTCTGATCACTATTTCTTTTTATTATAGATTGTATAAACTCCCATAATTTTTATAGGGAACTTAAAGTCCTAGTAAAAATCACGGTTTATATAGTTGGGTGTAGTCTGGAGCTTCCTCTCTCATTTCAACTCTCCCCCAGACAGCCTTTTAATTAGGTGACGTTTAATTTAAATGAGGTTGAAACTCATCAGTGAAAGAAGAAACCAGTAATTTCTGTCATTTTTGTGATAGAAAAAGAATGACATTTACTTGATGATATAATCTCATTTGCTAACTGAGTATTTACTGTTCCACCATAGATCTGCTGTAAGATTTTAGGTAGATCACTTTACAATTCTGAATATTCATTTTCTCATGTTTAAAATTAAGGAGACAGACTAGATCAGTGGATCTCAATCCTGGCTGCATATTAGAGACATCCAAAGAACTTATAAAGATACCTGTACCTGCTTCTCAATATCAGAGATTCTGATCTTAGTAGTCTGAGTGGGGCCCAGATATCTATATTATTTAAAAGCCCCCAAGCTGTTTCTGATGTGTAGCCTGGGCTGAGAACCATTGCACTAGATGATTACTAATGTTCTTTCCAAGCCTTAAACTGTGATTCTGTGAGTAATAACCTATGAGGAAATAGATAAATAACTGTGTGCATATGTATAATAGCAAACACAACACATCTTCAAATATTCCAGCTCAAAATGCCTGCTAAAGAGACTTTAATTTACTTTCAAAAAGCACTTAATTGCCCAAAGCAAATATAATAATAGCATAACCACCCTAAACATGACAAAGTATTTTCTGACTAGTTGATTCTAAAACAACATGATGTGCCGTGACATGACATAACTAAACATTCCTAGGCTTTCATAATTTAACTAGAATCTCATTCTACCGAGAGAATTTGGGTCAAATTTGTTATTATTACTGGTTTCAAAAGCTATAAAGACGTACTTAGCAATACTAACTTTGACTTGCCAAACAGTACTCACTTCAGAGATGCAAAAGAAGGGACGGTACTTATCATTCCAGTTTCTGCCATCTCAATGGCATGTTTTATTTCAAGCTTTTTATATAAGGAAACGATGCTTGACTTAGGTTGGTTTTCCCGAATCAAAAGCTTCCGCAAATATTTGTCATCAAACTTCTTAAACCTGGAAATAAAGAAAATAAAACTTTCAATTAATTAATCACACTGTTGCTGTTTTCTTTAGCACCAATGCATAGAGCAGTGCCTGGCACACGGTAAGCATGTATGATAGAATGCATCATTTAGTCTCAGTTCCTCCCTGTTTCCACATCCTCTGCCATATTATTTGGCACTGTCTTTCCACCATGGCCTAGATAACCTACTTTGTCCTGCTTCCTGCCACTGGGTTCAATAATGTTACTTCCTTTGGCCAATGGGCTATTAGCAGATATAATAATGGAAGCAGGGGCTTAAAATGGGCTTGTTCATTAAATCTTGCCTCTTGTGCTTCAACAATCACCATGAGAAGAATATGCATGGAGTGACTCATTAGTCCCAGAACAAAGGTGAATGCCACATGAAGCACAGCTAAGTCATCTCGGTCACAGAGAAGGCCAGCCAGGATCAGCTGACCACCTGCCAACCCACTAAAGTATGAGCAAGATCAGTCCAGTTCAGCCACGCCCAGCCCAGATCAGTGACTCTTGGCCTCTTAACTCAGGCACTTTAATAATAAGTGACTTGTTTTGAGCAGCTAATTTTGGGGGTGGTTTGTTATATAACATTATTATGCCAACCTGTAAGTGAAACTGCATGTAATAAATATTTGTTGAGAAAGAAAGGACTTTATTACAGTGATCATCATAAGCCCAAGGTTTATAGACACACCTGTGCTTTGAAAGGAAACAATATTAGCCCACGTCCTTGGTGCTTGCCCTTTGTCTAAATACTGAAGGGCTATGAATAATTAAAGAAAGTCACCCTTAAAGTGCTTTGCTATTGACTGGCCACTATACTAAACACTGGAGCTACCTTCTTCTAAATTGATTTTGAATTTCCTGTTAGCCCATTGAGCAGGACTCCTGGCACCAACACATCTTTTAAAATTTCTTTTATAATTGTGTTTTAGCTTTTCACTAGAGATAAACAAAAGGAAGAATACATACAAGGACAATGACGTCTGATCTATTTAGCATGGAACTGTGCATTTTCTTTCTTTGTTTTATCTCCACACCTTCTATTTCTCTGCCAAGCTATACTTAGGCAGTTTCTCTCTATATCTTTAGATTCCTTTGCTAAGTTTAATAAGTGTCCCTAGTATGTTATCTTTTCATTTCATTCTCAAAGGATCAAACGCCTCAAGGATTCTTTGGCAAGACCACTAGAAATCCACAGCATAAGAATTCCAGAGGAAAGGGAAAGTTACCCAACATATCTAAAACAATCACTTCTTTTTACGTCATCCTTAGTAAATCAACAATTATGTACATACCAGAGATAGAATCTAAGCATTTTTAAACTAATGCTAAACATGGCCTGTGTCAGCAACAAATCATTCCATACCCACTTCCCTGTTCTTCTTGCATTATATAGTATACATGGCAACTCAGAAAACTATTTGAAATTTACCTAGAAAACACTGTACATGGAAATGTATAGGGTTTATGAAATTATTAAATGAAGCATGTATACTACAGAGGAAAATGTTAGACATGTAACAATATTACCTTTCAGACATGAATCAAAGCTGTCCCTGCCATCTTTAGTATTTATTAGTCCAGTTATCCTGGCAGCTTGTAGATGTTTGCCTAGAACAGATTCACATACCTTGGAGAAAAAGTACCTCTCTCTGAAAAAATAGGATGCAGCCAGACTTTCTCTGACACTCCTTCACCTGAGTTCCAGACAAAATCTACATGATCACAGGGTCCATTTCTTCATTCTTCTAACATCGCCCCAGGGACTGCTGACCTGATCCCCACACTTACTCACATCTATTTTGCCCCAGGTTTGGGAGGCAGAAGAGTGGTATAAACCTTTAGCCTAATCTTCACTTTTGAAAAGGTACAAACTGTTCTGGGTTACTACTGTTTCTTGTCACTTCAGGCAAGGACTGGTAGGATGCTAGGGAAGGAGAAAAGTGATTGGGTTGAAAGGACACAGTAGGTGGAAAATAGCCATGACTATGGGAAATATGGAGGTGAGAGGCTGAGAAGTCTGTATCACTGGCTTGGTACAGGCTAGAATTGGTTTTGGGAAGGTCCCAGGGATGTCAAGCAGGGCAATGTGGAAAGTCACAAAGCAGAAGGTTAAGGTTCTCTGCCTTCAAAAAAGTGAACACTGCCCAAGATAAATGACCATTGTTTTCATGTTTTTACAGTGGAGATTTTAGTTTTATTTTATTACTTCGTGCCCCCATGTGGTTAATTGGGTACTATCTCCTTACATATAAAATATTTTTTCCTTTAGTGATGCAGTAAGGCTAGGTCCAAGGGGCCTTCCTACATCAGTAAATGGTGTGGTCAGGCTTGTAAATATTGTTCTAGCCCTTAAAGTCTCCATAACTCATTTTATGACTTGATGATATCATTCTCTCTCAATCTCTCTCTCTCTCTCTCTCTCTCTCTCACACACACACACACCTATTTGCTGTGTGACTGTTTTGTTGCCTTTACTGTAATCCAATATTTTAAAGGCCTGAGTCTATAGCTTATACTTCTCATGTAGTCCAATATCATGTCAGAACATGTGAGCAAATAGTAAGCACTTAAAAATCCCCTTATGTTAAATTATATAAATCAGTAGGTTAGTCAACTAATGTTAATTTGCAGCGGGGAGGGGGAATCTGTTAGGAAAGCAAGTTAGGAAAGACAAGGCAGAAGGGCAAGAGGCATCCACCAAATATAGCTTAGAACATGTCCATCTGTCTTTAGGGACCAGCTGAAATGCCACCTCCTTCAAATGTCTTTCCTAGCCAGTGATTCTACCTGGCTAGCCTACCTTTTTCTCTTCAACTATAAAATTCTTGGAGAGAGACACTGAATCTTATTTATTCACCACAGAGCCTTTAAAGATAAAAAAGAAAAAGAAGATAGATGATATAGATGATAGATAGATAGATAGATAGATAGATAGATAGATAGATAGATAGATAGATGATAGATAGATGATAGATAGAAAGATGATAGATAGATAGATAGATGATAGATAGTTAGATAGATAATGATAGATAGATAGATGGATAGATACATATATACACATTTATATAAGTGCACATAATCTTTCAGATAATCATAGTTTTAAAATCATTTTTTATTTCTGTTAGTCTCTTTATATCCTCAGGTGATCTGAAGCTCTGCACTTGACAAAGACCTTCGACACATGTGGGAGAACAAATAGTAATGGCACTCCCAGTTTTTAACCAAAGTAGACTCCAGTCTCCCTTGCAGTGAAAAATGTCCATATGATTAAACTCAGGCCATATGAGGCCAGGCCATGTGATATAACTGGAAGAATTGTGTGGAAAAGTCTGGCAACTGTGGTTGGGAGGAAGCTAGTACATATGCTTTGTCTCTTTATAATCTTTGTTCCTACATGCATCCTGGAATGTGCACATAATGGCTAATGTTAGAGTAGCCACTTTGGTCTAAGAGACAACTTTGGAAACGGAAGTTGTTAGTGGAATTAACTAGACAGATGGTCCTGGGACCACAAGGAGCCTGTGGAGCAGAACTTATTTATTAAACCTACAGTGCCTACCTCTGGATATTTGCATAAGAAAGAAATAAGCTTTTCTTGTATTAAAGCCACTATTGCTCCAGGTGTCTGTAATAGCTGAACTCTGTGTGAAGGGACACACTATGGCACAGCATAGGAGGCATTTACAACTCCAAAAAACAACACAAGTCAACAAGTCACGCATCCAGAGTGACCTAGAGCCACTGCATAATGCGATAACATCAGGCCTCCTTACTTGTCTCTCCAAAAGTTGTGACCCCAGTGTCCACAAACATCTTCGATCCCAGTCTTCACATGATCAAAAAACTAAAACGAAAATGGCAGGCTTATTAATTTGTATCTGAAATCAGTAATTTCCACTCTATTCTTATCATGCCTAAATTTCAAAGACCCTGATAATTTTGCTTCTTTTTTTTTTAACTGAAAACAATAAAACAATAATTAATCTTCAAACAGATTGATGTTTGTCACATCGGTATCAAGCAAATCTTAGATTATCTTTCTCCTCATAAGTGTATTCGTAATTTTGGAAAATAGGAAATATGGTAATAATCTTCCAGTTGAAACATTTTTCATGTTGAAGGAAATAATAAGAGGGCACCCTTTGTCAATATATTCCTTAGTTCTAGGCCAACTTGGAGAAGCCACAGTGGGGTTCCATATGCCCGAATCAGGCCTTTCTCGGCCCTCCCTCCCTACAACCCTCTGCCGTTTCCCTCTTCTTCAGGAAATAAGTCCATGATGTAAAACTGTTCGACCATATCCAACATTTTTTTCTTTTATCATTGAAATCATTATAGTACAATAAAACCTACCCGACAGTGGATTTCTTCACTGACAGCTTGCTGTTTCTTATTGGCCCTCTTAACATCAAGAAACTCTACCAGTGGCCGAATGGTTATTCCCTGCACATAAAAAAGAAAGTGAATTTTCTCATAAAATAGAGTTAAAAGTTAAAGAATAACTGCTATCCTCTCCAAAGCTCTGATAACTAACAAAAGATACCCTGCCCCCAAGAGTTAACACAGTATATACAACATGTTGTTAATTTTTTTCTTCCTCTTCAATAGCTGGCATATTTTCAGAGGACCACATCCCAATGCCTGCTACTAGAAACAAAACAATGGACAAAATGCAAGAAATTGAAAACATAATTTTAAATAATGCTAAGAAATAGAAAGAGAAAGAAATTCTACGAAATAATTACTATCCAAGTCAAGAGTATCACCTACTTGTTATTCACAGGAAATTTTTCAATGATTTTTACATGCATTAATTTATCAAAACAATTTTAATTGATTATCTACTACATACATGTCAGGGGCTTAGACATTTGGGACTTAGAGATGGTTAGTTAAGGACTTCGGCTCTAGGACTTTGTGGTCTTATGGGGAGAAAGATATACTAAAAACAGTTACAAAGTGGGTAAGGGAAGAACGAGAGAAATAAATAGAGAACAGATCTATTTAAAAATAGCACGAAAGCTCAATAAAGTGACTAGACATAAAATCAATATACATAAATCCCTCTTATATACTAATTTAAGAAAAGGACAGAATAAACACCTACATAATAACAATGAAAATTATATCTATATCCTCATCTATATATATGTATATATAAATATATATATAAAAAGAGAGAATATATACATAATAGTATGTACCAGTATATAAATAATACATTAAATATATAGTAGTATACTATATATACTAAATACATGTGTATATTTATATATTCTCTCTATATATGTAAATATATAAAATACTATATAATCCGACCATAAAATGCACAGAACCTTTACAAAGAGAACTATAAAACTTAATTAAAGAATATTAATATTAAAAATATTTGAATTTTCAAAAGACACATATAGTTCCTAGATGAGATTATTTAACAATATCATGATGATTATTTTATCTCAATGTCCATGCAGTACAATAACATATCCCAAAAGATTTTTAACAGAGTTTCAGAGGTTTGTTTTAAATTAGTCTGGAAAAGTAAATGTAACCAGGAAAAATTTTTTAAAAAAAGAATGATGGAGAACTTATAGATAGCAAAACAAACTATCAGCTAATATATTTAAAATTATGTGACACTAGTACTGAAATAGGCCAGGTGAGGAAGGGGTAAAATGTGGAGTTGGCAAAGGTCCCCAGCTTTCTTGCTTGGTAGGTAGGCGGCTGCCACTGCTTGGCATAACGAATACTGGTATACGAGGGGTTGTTGGATATTTTCAGGGGGAGAAAGGTTGGATATGTTGAGATATGTTCCCTGCCACATATTTGATGCCCATCTCATCTTTCTATACATCTTTAAGTTTAAGAATGCCTTTGATAATATAAACTAACTGTGATACACACACACACACACCCCTACATACACACATACGCATTTGGTTTATTCCACCAATCCAGCTTTGGGCATTTTTCAGTCTAACTTTAACTTTCTAAAATGTGAACTAAATTTGACTGAATTTAGTGAGACACACCTTGTGCTCTATTTGTGTCACTTTCAAAGTCTACCACTTTCAAGTAACATAGGAGGTAATAACAGTTTTCCAATCAACACATATTCTGTAATGTGTAACTTGTGTAGATGAAAATAGTTATAAATGTGGTTTACAAAGATGGATTTCATCAGATTCCAGCTATCATAAACCCACTAGTTTAATAATAACTTCAGGAAAAAATATTAACAAAATCAATGCAATTTTTAAAACTATATAGTGTGTTCTAAGGACATGGGCATGTTTCACATGTTTTTTTTCCCCAATCATTATTTATTTAGTAAATAATAAATGAGTTCCCAATATCTGTAAGGCATAAAAATAAAGATAAAACACAGGGCCAGCCCCAGTCTTTTTGTTGGTTCTGTCCACTAAACAGATAATCTAGAGATAAATGGTCTGTCACAAATAAAACAAAGTGATCAACTATATGAAGCAAGTGTGGCCTGGTGCCCAGATCAACTCAAGTTTCTAAAACTACAACATATTTTATAATTAGTTTATAATTAATAAAAAGTATCGATTATATGCAATAGACCACTAACACTATCTTTTAAAAATATGTATTTGTTTAAACGGTTCCTTTTAGTCATCATCCCTTTTCTCTTTGAATTATTTACAGTTATCATGTCATGCTCAATAAGAATTATCTGATAAGTTCTGCCTTATTTCCTCTCTTTCCTTTCTTTTTTCCTTCCTCAATCCATCTATTTTGGAAGTAGAGTCCATGGCATCTGTGTGTGTTCTATTAAATTCCCTAAATTGGACGTTGTATCTGAGGAAACTGAGTCTCTGGTTGGGAGAAACAGAGGAAACAAAAAAATACCTTTGAGAAGGCACCTTATTCACCACATTGGAAAATTTCTAATTTAAGTCACTTGGGGAGCAATCTAATAAGGCCTAGAAAATTAGCTTGTTACCATCCATGTAGGTTAAAAAATAAAGAAAGCCCTTGGTTTTCTATCAAAACACTGCAAAACATATTTGCAAAGCCCAAGTTAAATTTTTACCCATTCTTTCGGCTTTGGCACAATACACATGACACCTCAGAGCCAGACCTGATGGAAGGGACTCATTTAAAAACAGGCAGGGGCAGGATGACAGCGAGGTGAGATTTGTTTTCTACCTTGTTCCATCTCTGCTTTCCTCCCGCCTCTCACCCTTCAGCTCCTAGCACCATATGAAAAAAGAAACACTGTAAATTAGATAATGAGCATTAGTTTGGTTTGTCTTTTTGAAAGAAGTTGATTTTTTTTCCTTAAAATTCATTTTTTTAAATGAAATTGGGAAGAATTGCCTTATATTTCTTTGCTGATTAAGCAGCCAATATCCAGGAAAAAAACTTGAAGAAAAATTCATTTTTTAAAAAAAATATCACTACCATTGCAATGCTATCCTACACAAGGTCTTTGTCACATTCAAACTTGATCCCAGAGATCATAAACCCAGCTGTATATACAGCATTTGTTTGGAATGGAAAAAGCGAGATGAGAATCATAAGTGTTTGCGGAGTACACGCTCTTCATTCCATCTTGGGGCCCTCAGTTTATCTCTCTTTTGGAACTTAGCACATTGCCATATGTCTTACTGTTCCCCTAAGCCATCTTTTCCTGTTTTCTGTCATCAGTGTTCTCTCCTTACTGTACCACCGGATATCCAGACATGCTGCTATGGCTCCTATCTTTGAAAAACAGAAAGAAAAGCCCTCTTTTGGCACATATTCCCCTCTGGTTATTACCCCTGTCCTCTACGAGGTGGTCCCCAACCTGTTTGGCACCAAGGACCAGCGCTCCTATGAGAATTTAATGCCTGATGATCTGAGGTGGAGCTGAGGTGATGATGCTAGCACTGGGAAGCAGCTGCAAATACAGATAAAGCTTTGTGCTCTTGCCCACTGCTCACCTCCTGCCATGTGGCCAGGTTCCTAACAGGCTATGGACTGGTACTAGTCCATGGCCCGGGGATCGGGGACCCCTGCTCTACGTGACCTCAACTGAATTGTCTATGTCTCCTGTCTCCGGTTTCTCTCTTACCCTGGAACTTTCTCATGAGCTGACCCCAAGAGATCTTAGCTACTCATCACCCTCATCATCTAGCCTCTGTGCAACAGTGCATTCACTATGCCTACCCACCTGACTTGCAGCTGCGTCCATCACAGTTACTAGAACCCTCTCCTTCCTGAACACTTTCTTCACTTGACCTCTGGACAGCCCCGCCTGGCTTTGTTCCCACTTCTCTAGTCATCTTTTGCTGTCTCCCAGGTTGGCTCCTCAACCCTGTCTTGACTTTTAGATATTGGTATGTCTTCTTTTCTCTACTTTTTCTATACTTACTTCCTGATAGTTTCATCCAGGCTCATGCTTCGAAAACCATCGACATACTGATGAGTCTCACATTTATATCTCCCATTTTGGCTCCTCCATCAATACTAGATCCACACATGCAATTGCCTATTCGGTATCACCACTGGATGTCTAACAGGGAAATATGTGTGTCCAAAATGTAAAACGATTGCCTGACTCCCCACACTTCCACCTCCCTTGATATTATATTAAATATCACCTTTCACCCCTTCGCTCAGTCAAAAACCCTTGGAATTATTTCTTACTGTTCTTTTTCTCACATCCTAAGTAATTCACCTACATTTTTCATCTTAAAAAATCCTGATCAATTCGCTCATTTCATTGTAGAATCAGAATAAATTTTTCGGAATCCCATAAAACTTTACTTAGTAATGGTATATGTGAATTAAATATAGGAATGTGTCATTATTAGATTATATACATAATATATATTATTAGATTATATATAATTATATATTGGATTATATATTATTTGACTATATATAATATACAAATTACATATGACCACTTATAACAAATTAAAAGTCATTTGAAGGGTCATTTAATGTCTATAAAACATTGAGCCTCATCGCTTTAGTTTGAGAGGCTGTCAGCAAGAGCGTGTCTGATTGCTGGGAAAGGTGAACCCACCATGGGTCCTAAGTGTCCTGCGCATCCCTGCAGGGGTTGCCAATAATGCAAGGCCTTGACCCCTTTTACCTAGGCCATTTTCAAGGTTGCATTTGCAACAAGCTACCTTGAGATATGAGACAATGTTACCCTCCAGACAGAGAGCAACATATCCTCAAACTCAGTGTCTGCCTCCTGTCTCCTGTCTGTCAGCCCATGCAGACATCCATCATGGGCCCTTTGTGTCACCCCAAGGGACTTGGGGTGTGGAAAACTGACACGGACCAACACAAAGCTCTGGCCTCTGGATTTTACAATGAATAATCAAATCCTTTGTCTCTGACCTAGGAGTCAAGTGTCTTCTGAAAGTTTCCGTGAAAATTTAACAGGCTGACTTGTTAACCTGCAAGTAAGGTAAGAA